TTGCTGCAGATGGCCAAGGACTGCAGCCTTCAATATGGATTGAGTCTCAGTATCAAGAAGACAAAGATTCTCACCACTGGACCAATTGGCATCATCAGGATGAATGGTGAAGAGATTGAGATTGTTTACAGCTTTAGTTTGCTTGGCTCCACAGTCAACACTCTTGGCACCAGTAGCCAGGAAATTAAAAGACGTATTGTGATGGGAAATTCTGCTGTTTGAGACTTCTCCAAAGTACTCAAGAGCAATGGTGTCTCTCTGGAGACTAAGGTACGTCTGATACAGGCCTTGGTCTTTGCAATCACTTGTTATGCGTCAGAGAGTTGGACAATGACTAGGGAGGGTAGAAGGAGAATTGATGCCTTTGAGCTGTGGTGCTGGAGAAGAGTATTGAATGTAACATGGACTGCAAGAAAACAAACAGCTTCATTCTGGAAAGGGTTAAACTGGGTGGCTCCTTGGAGACAAGGATTCTGAGGCTCTGTCTAACATACTTTGGACATGTTGTGAGGAGAGACCAGTCCTTGGAGAGGGACACCATGCTTGGGAGAGTGGAGACACAGTGCAGGAGGGGAAGACCCTCTGTGAGGTGGATTGATTCAGTGACTGGGATAATCGGGATGGGTGTGTCAGAGACAGTGCGATTGGCACAGGACAGAGCAGAGTTCAGGGCTGTTGTACACAGGGTCGCTATGAGTCGCAAGCGACTTGATGGCACATAACAACAACAACAACAACATAGGTTGTATGAGAAGAGATTGCCTGTCTTTCTTCCTTAGAGCATCTGGTAGATGTGAACCATCAGAAAGGTATCACCTTTGCGTTAGCAGTGCAACTTCTATGGACTATGCCTCTAGGGTGGTAGTGATGTTGTGGTTAGGTGCTGTCAAGTCAAGTATAAGTCATAGCGACTCTGTCTAAAGAGATGAGAATAAGACATAAGGTCACTACGCTGTGAGTGTCTTTCTGAAAGAGCCAGCGGGAGTAAGAATAGCATAGCTCCTCATCATCCCAGAGCAGAAAGCAGATAAGGAGCCCCTAGCCCAGCCCCATGGTGCATGTTCGTTGTTGACTTACTGATTCACAGTTGTGGTACTGAAAAGTGGCTTAATTAGGGAAGTAAGTTGGAGAGTGGAGGATGCAAAAAAATATCACCGAATACAAGTCCAGGTTTTAACCCAAGTTCCAAGGCATAGTTCCTCAATTTGTCTAGGCTCTGGTTTCAGTTCAGCAGTCCAGTCCAAATCACGCAGCAAGGTTTACCTCAAAGCAGTTATAAGTCAGCTTCTCCTTCGAGTATCCAGCAAGAACAACAAAAAAGTTTAGCTGTGGCCAGTACAAATGCAGGAAGCCTCAGGTCACTGCTTGCCACAGTTTCTCCACATTAGTGCCACATTCTCTGCACCATTAGGGTCTTGCTCCACTCTCCCTCAAGTCTTGCCACCATGGTAAGTCTTCCTGCTCATTGTCGGTAGCACTCTCTCTCTTATCCTAGTCCCACAGCAATACCCTGCTTATTTGCAAGACCGTATGTCTCCATTCAAGGTAGCTTGAGACCAGAGGGGGCTGCCTGTAGTGGGGGCGAGGGGTGGAGAAGCAGCCAACTTTTAAGCTAAAACCACAGACATCAGATCTGGATCCTGTTTTATCCTTTGTCGTCCTCATCATTTCTACCATACTATAGCCCATTGCCACAATCACTGTGTCAATACATTTCATGAGGGTCTTCCCTCACTGACCTTCCAATTTTCAAAGCATGAGCTCCTTGTCCTGGGACTGGCCCCTCCTAAAAATATACACATGCAGAAAAGAACAGTATGTTTTGGAAAGAGTACAGCCAAGTTGCTCCTTAGAGGGAAGAATGTCGTTTTCTTATACTGTATTTGGTTTTAATGTCAAGGTAATATGGACCTCATAGAATACTTAGGAAGTATTCTCTTGTCTTGGAAAAATTGATCTAAGTTTTACTTCTCTACATTAATTGGTTGAATTTACTACTGAAGCCATTAGGGTCTGGGGTTTTTGTACTGGCAAAATTTTTTAAAATACATTTTTATTTTATACTTATTTGCTTACAAAGTTCCTGTAAATTGCTTTTCATACCAGATCTTTCACATTTCCTTTACCCATCCATCTCTCTACCTATCAAATTGTGCAATGCTATGATTATTCCCCTGCCTAGCCTCACCTCTCTGCTTCTAACCTCTCCCCTTTGGATCCTTATACTCATTTTACTTGTTATCATTCTATTTCTACAATAATTGTCTTATGTAGTATTTGTCCTTATAGGACTGAGTTAGTTCACTTAGCATAATGCTCTCCAGTCTCTCCCAAGTTATGTGGTAATTTTTTATATCATTGCTCCTGTATGCTGTATAATGATTTTGAGCCAGTGATTTTGAACATTTCTTCATGCATCTGTTTGCCATCCAAATTTCTTCCTCTGTGAAAGATTATCTGTTGTATGAATGTATCACAATTTCTCAATCCATTGATTTTCATTGGACATTTGGGCTATTTCCATGTTCTTGAAATGGTGGATAACACAATGAACATTGGTGTACAAATCTCCGTTTGTGTCTCAGTTCTAATTTTCTTGGGGTATATTCCAAGCAGTGGAATAGCTAGCTGGGTCATATGGAATCTGTTCAGGTTTTATTTTTTAGGAAACGGCGCACTGCCTTCCAGAGTGGTTGTATCATTTTACAGTCCCACCTACAGTGTATGAGTTCCTATCTCTCCACATCTACTCCAACATTTATTATTTACTGTCCTGTTAAATTTTGCCACTGCTACTGGGGTGAGACGGTATCTCATTGTGATTTTGATTTGCATCTCTCTTATTGCCAGTGATTTTGAAGATTTCTTTGTGTCTGTTGGCCATCTGAATATCTATGTCTGCGAAAGGTCTTTCCAAGTCTTTTGCCCATTTCATAATTGTGTTATCAGTCTTTTTCTTGTGGAGGCCTTTTAGGAGTCTATAAACTTTGTTATGAGACCCTTGTTTTAAAAGGTATTGACCAATGTTTTTTCCCTGTCAGTAGGTTTTCTTTTTGCTCTGTTGGAAAATGTTTTTGATGCATGCATCAAAATGATTTAATGTTGAGGAGGTCCCATTCATCACTTTCATCCTTTTCTGATTGTTTATTTCTGTCTGTATTTGTCAACCTTTTTATACCATGAGCCAGACCTTCTAAGCTTGGTCCTTCTTTGACTCTACTGATCTTTATGCTTTGGGGCTTTACTGTAGGTCTCTGATCCACTTTGAGTTGATGTATGGTGAGAGTTGTTCATCCTGCTTCAGCTTTCTGCAGGTAGTAGTCTAGTTTACTGACAAGATTTTTTCCTATAAATGCAGTTGCTTTAATGAATGTAGATTAACTCAGGTTGTCTGTTTCTTCTCTCATGAACTTTGGTAGTTTGTGTCTATTTAGATATTTTCCATTTCACCCAAGTTATTGAATATCAGCTTAATTTAACTCATTGCCATTGAATTGGAACCAAGTCATAGCTGACCCTCAATTGAGTTTTCAGAGGCTGTAAATGGCATAGATGAAAATAGCCCATATTTCCCCCATGGGTTCTAACTTCCTCTCTTTGAGTGGAGAGCACCACTCTCTACCCACTAGGCACATATATTATTGAATAGATGGGCATAAAGTTATTCATAATATTCCCTTACTTCTTTATAAAGTTAGTTTACCATGTCACCTTTCAATTCTCAATATTGGTAATTTGTGCTTTTACTTATTTTTTCTTTCCTAATCATTCTAGTTAGATTTATCAACTTCATTGATCATTTCATAGAACTGCTTTCAATTTTTCTTTTTTCCTGTTTTATTGATATTGCTTTGATCTTTATGTCTCTGTTCTTCTGCTTGCTATGGATTTAATTTAATCTCCCCCTTCTCCCAGTTCTCTAATGTAGAAAGGAAATAAATTGTGTATTTTTCTCCTTTTCCAACATAGCTACTTGGAGCTATTACTTTTCTCCTAAGTGCTACTTACAACATCTCGCAAATCTAAAATGCTGTATTATTTTCATTTTTATACACTTCTGTGTTGCCTTTTGGATTGTTGTTGTTGTTGTTGTTGTTGTGTACCATTAAGTTGAACTCAACTCATAGCTCACCTTCCAGTGAGTTTTCAGAGGAAATTGTCCATCTTTATCCTGAGGAGTAGTTGGTGAATTTGAACTGTATGCCTTTGAGACAGTAGCTTAGCTTCTTACTGCTTGGCTATGAGTTGTTGTTGTTGTTGTTATGTGCCATTGAGTCACCTGTGAATCATAGCAACCCTATGTATTACAGCCCTAGACCCTGCTCTATCCTGTGCCAATCTTATTGTCTCTGGCACACCTACTCTCAGTACCCCAGTCACTGAATCAATCTCATTGAGAGTTTTCCTCTCTTGCCCTTTACCCTCCCAAGCGTGACATCTCTCTCCAAGCACTGGTCCCACCTTATTTTGTCTTGAATTCTTTGAAATTTTATGACCCAGAATATTTTCTGTTTGGTAAGTATTCTTTGTGTGCACTGGGAAAGAATGGATGCTCTACTGCTCTTGGCTAGTGTATTATTTAGGAATGCCAGTTTAATTTGAGTAATCATTTTGTTAAAATTTTCTGTATAGCCTGGTTGATTTTTTTTTGTCACTTGTATATCAGTTTTTGAGAAAAGGAGTTGAATCTCCATTTAACTGTGAATTCGTCCATATCTCAGAGGCTGTTTCTGTCAGCTTTGCTTCCAGTACCTTCTAACAATGTTATTAGGCTCATTAACATTTAAAATTGCTTAATTTTTAGGAGCTTGTAGCTATTGGTAGTGCCTACTACAAGTAGTATTTAATATGATCGACTTGATTTAAGGAAGATTTTTACATTAACTTAAAAAAATGTGCAATGTTCTTATGGTATAAAGTAAAAAGTATGTGAAGGTATTTTGGTGTTGGTTTTTTTTTTACAGTTAGTTTGGTAATTCTGAGCTGTTTTTCTCATGCAGGAGTCTACCAGAGCCTCTCATGACCTATGAGTTGCATGGGGATTTCATTGTTCCAGCCAGTAAGTATTACACAGAGATTAATAAAAGCAGTTTTGTGATTAAAGTGCACTTATGTGAAAATTTCTATGTGAAAAACATAACTTAATGTTACTGTACTGTGGATTAAAAGTAGAAACCACTTTAGATGTTTTAATTTTGAAGATGAGAGGCAACTAATATGTCAATTATTTCATTCACAAACCTTTATACATTGACTATTGCAATGGGCATTGGTAAACACTGGTTGTTAGTAGATTGTTAACAGACAGGATACAATTTTCAAGAAAACATTTGGGCATATATACTTCTCATTGTATCATGAACTGTATAATAATAACAGATAAAATATTATGGGAACTCAGAAGTATTTAACTTGCAGAGTGTTGGGAGAAGATCAGCAGATATGGAAAGATTAGCAAGTTGGAAATGACGTCACATGGAAAGGTATTTAGATGGAAATTACAGTTAAACAAGATATTCTGAGATAGTACCTGAAGTTCAGTCAATATTTGTTAAGAGTAATTATACTGGTAGGAAGCAGGAGTGGCATCCACTTCCTATACAACTTGACTCCGGAAACTGTGAACTTTGACAAGTGTCCTTAGTTGTGGAGGGGCTTCAGGCCTTTTGTTCATAGGGTCGCTATGAGTCGGGCTCGACCCGAAGGCAATCAGCAACAATTACACTGGAGAAAATATTAAATGAGTTGAATTTGATAGATTTTTAGTTTGTTAGTAGATTATTATTTTTTGTTTTTCTTAATCCACAGTCTTTTGAGCCTTTCTTGCTTTCTTTCTATTACTATTCACCTCACTTTTTCTGGAGATCTACTGGGAAAGTTTATATAGAGTTGCAGTACTAGCTGAAGGCCACAAATCTCTGGTAATTTGAATCTACCAGCATCTCTGAGAGAGACGGATAGAGAGTCTCCTCCCCTCGCATTTACATCCTTGGAAACTCACTACAGGGTCAGTTATGAATCAGTTCTGACAGCATGACAGTGAATTGAACCAGGATTTGTTTTCTGTTAGATCACTTTTTATATATTACATGTGCTGTATAATCATGTTCTGACGTGACCACCATCAAGATGCTAGATAGCAGCCAAACTTTGAAATATATTGGTGTTAGGTATTTAATAGTTAAGAAATAAAAGTTCAAATGTGTTAAGTAACTTGCCAGATTATAGGAGACTTAATTAAAATTTAAAACCCCAGTTCCATTCCGTTGGCTAAAACTTACAGTATTGGTTTTCACAGGTGCACTGACAGTAGGTGCAATTGTGTTTGCATTTCCTTTCCTCCCCCGACCCCTTGGATGCGTTCCATAGTTTAATATGTTGAAAATTTAGAGCAATCTCATTGGGCCCTATGTTACTGTTGCTTAATCCTTGCTTTAAATGTTATCTTCTTGTGTTGTGAGGTCTTTGCCTAGTATGTTGTAGAAGGAAGCAATAGCCAGGCACAGTTGGCCTGTATGTGTAAAACAGGCTTTTGGAAAAGACGAAATATATTTCTGTTCACTTTTGTCTTATATGGAAGATTATTTCTTTTATGAAAGTTAGTGTGATCTGAAAGTCTTGGCAAATGCTTTGTGCTTTTGATTTTTCCCTGTTGGCATTTTTGGCAAGCTGATTGTTACTGCTGGTTGCTGTCCACTCATCTCATTGAGGGTCTTCCTCTATTTCATGGACCTTCTACTCTACCATGCATGATCCCCTTCTCAATGGACTAGTTCCTCCTGATACTATGTCAGAAATATGTAAGAGGAAGTGTCTGCATCCTTGCTTCCAAGGAGAATTCTGACTACTAAGACAGACTTTTTGTTCTTTTGCCAGTCAATGGTATATGTTTAATCTTCTTTGTCAATAACGTTATTCAATGGCATCACTTCTTCAGCTTTCTTAGAGGACCATTGTTTCATGTTATTTGCCTTAGAGACTGGAAAAAAGCAGAAGGGGGCCAAGTTTTAATCTAGAATCTTTTTGAGAATTAAAGATAAAGTGGTTATAGAAAAAGGTTTTAAGTTAGTATGATAATAATTATTAACATGCCCCTAACTGAGGGCAGTGTGTCTGAACATCTTGTAGCCTTGCATTTTTTCCAGAGGGGGCTTCCTGTGAGGTAGGAACTTAGAAGTAATAATGAAGTCCCTCAGGGAAGGAAATGGGTGTCAGAGTTTCTTGAGGAAATCTTTGGACAGTGTAATTAATGGATTGTTTAGATGCAAAAGCTAACAGCGCCTACTAGACTGGTACCTTCTGTTATGCTTCTTTACTCTATGGAAATGCTGTCAGAGAGGATCTGTGATGATTTAAAGAACAGGCATGCCTCAGAGAGTGTAGCTTACTGTAATCATTGGCATGGATTTGTACCTAAATGGAGTTGTGGTTGGAATGAGACCTCCACACAACTACTCTGTTGAGTCAAGTCCAACATGTAACTTCTCTATAAGACAGAGAACTTCTCTATAGGGTTTTGAATACCCACTGCCTTATCTTTCTCCTGCACTGTGGCTGATGGATTCAAACCACCAACCTTTTGGTTAGCAGCCCAGCGCTTCTCACTTCTAAGACTTCTAGTAACTTTGTTTAATAAGAAAAGCTTATATATGGAATAACTATATGTTGTTGCTTGGTGCCATCAAGTCAACTAAAATTCATAGTCACCATATGAACAACAGAGGAGAACCTTGCTGGATTCACAATTCATTCTGCTAAGATTAGTAGCCACCCTCATGGAAGAAGCACAGATCCCACAGTGTCCCATACGTTTGATTAGCTGTGTATAAAATTCTATGATTTTCAGTATCAACAGCCCAGTTCCCTCATTTCTCTATGCCTTTGGGTTCAGCGGTTCCCTGGAAGGTCTCTCAGAGACTCAGACCCATCAGAGGAATGACTCCTGTGACTGTAAGTATGCAGACTAGTTTTGCAGAGGCTGTTGATCTTTGTAGACCATTAGTTGCAGTGTAGCGGAAAAGCAAACATCCCAAAACGAGAGAGGTACTAGGAACTTATATAAGCCTCTAATAGAGTGGGGCTTGTATCCTATCCACATCCTCTCTCCTTAATACAATAAATACTTCAGCACCTCTCCTTAATACAATAAATACTTCAGCACAAAAATACTTAAACAGTGACTAGGAAATACATTTTGAACCTTTGACAAATTTTTGAACATTTGCCCTGTCCTTTGCCGTCCTCACCATCTCTGATGCATTCCAGCCCATTGTTACAGTCACTCCCATTTCATTGAGGGTCTTCCTCTCTTTCTCTGACCCCTCACCTTTTCCCAGCATGACGTCTTTTTCCAAGGACTGGCCTCTCCTGAAAACATGCCCAAAATATATGAGTCATTCCACTATCTTTGTCTCAGCACCCTGGGAGCACTTCCTTCAAGGTAGTTTATTCTTTTTGGAAGTCCATGGGGCATTCAATACTCTTCTCCAACATCACAATTCAAAGGCGTTGGCATCTCTTTTGCCACTAGTAGTCATTGTCCGACTTTGAGATCCATAAGAAGCAATTGAAAACTTCAAAGCCCATATTTAGAGGCACTTAATATATCACTGTCAATGTCAGATGTATTTTGCCTGAAATCAGAGAGTGCCAGAAGGATATCTATTTGTGTTTTAGTGCCTGCATTGGCATTTGATTGTGTGGATCACAACAAATTTTGCTGACATTGAGAAGAATGAGAATCCTAGAACACTTGATTGTGCTCATGCGAAACCTGTACTTTGACCAGGAAGCTGTCAAACAAAGCAAGAGAACAGTGCATGCATGGTTCAAAATCAAGAAAGGAGTGCACCAGGATGTAACCTTTCTCCATACCTTTTCAGTATACATGCAGAACAGATCATTCAGGCAGCTAGCTAGACTTTACTAAGAAGAATGTGACATTCAGATTGAAGGAAGACTCATCAAAAACCTACATTATGCAAATTACATAGAAGGAAGAAGCGTCATCAACAACCCGTGTTATGCAGATGACACTTTGCTAGCCAAGACTGAGGAGGACATGAAGCCTTTGCTGCAAAAGGTCAAGGACTACAATTTTTAACATTTATTGCGTATCAGTGTCTAGAAAACAGAGATTCTCCACTCAGACAATTGACAGCATCATGATAGATGGAGAAGAGATAGAGGTTGTTAACAGTTTCAACTTGCTTGGGTCCACAACCAGCAGTCTTGGCCCCAGCAGTCAGGAAATAAAAGACAACTTGTTTTGGGGAAATCTGCCATTAGGGACCTCTGCAGAGTGCTAAAAAGCAACAACATCAGTTTGGAGACTAAGGTGCACTTGATCCAGGACAAGGCCTTTTCAGTTGCTTGCTATGCATCTGAGAGCTGGACAGTGACTAAAGATAACAGAAAATTAATCAGTGCCTTTGGGTTTGTGGCACTGGAGAAGAATATTAAACATGGATCAAGTATGGAAATACAAGGGAGGAGGAACAGTTGTAAGCAGACCCTAGTGATTGGTACATGGAATGTGAGAGCCATGAATGAAGGAAAATTAGAAATTCTTAAGAAAGAAATG